GGAGGTGTCTTGGTGAGTGCGTGCTGCGTGCAGGGCCCGCGTGCTCTGATGAGTGGGTTCTGCAGGGACCGAGCTGCCATGTCCCCACCTCCCCTCTCCTGGGGCCCGGCTCTGCTGCTCATCGTTCCGTGGCTTCCATTCCCCCCTTTGCCCGGTGGGTTCTGGACTAACTCGTGGGCTCCCCCCCTGAGAGCCAGCCTCCGCCCACTGCAGGACCCAGTGCACACAGAGAAAACAGCAGAAGAGCCGCCACCCCCGACCCAGCTCCCAGTATCACCAGAAACTCTTCGGGGGGGACATGGAGAAGTTTATCCAGGTACTGGCTTTACCTCATGCTCCAGCTGAGTGCAGGCGCTCCCCTGCATTTTGGTTTCTCTGCAGCCCGGGGCCATCTCTGTGGCCTGGCTGCCTGTGACCCCCAGTGTCCTGCACTGTCGACAGCCGGTGAACTGTCCCTTCCTGGAACATCCTTCACGAGTAGCAGGCATCTACAGAGGGGCGCCTGGGTGGCTCAGTCGCTGAAGCATCTGCCTTTGCCTCGGGTCGCGGTCCCGGGGTCCTGGGATCGAGTCCCGCGTCGGGCTCCCTGCTCGGTGGGGAGTCTGCTTCTCCCTCTCCCCGCCTGCCGCTCGTGCTCGCTCGCTCTCTCTCTCAAATAAATAAAGTATTTAAAAACAACCAACCAAGCAAAAACCAAAAAAACCCCAGGCATCTACAGAAAGCCTCAGGCAGGAGCATGTGAGAAGTAGAGCCCACAAGCCCCGCTTCGGCTAGCGTGCCACTGGGGTTCGTTCCTAGGCGGCGAAGTAAGGGAAGCAAGAAGGGTCTGAAAAGAAGAAATAGCGCTGGCCTGTCCTATGATGTGGTTATGCACTCCGTGTGTATTCAAAGAGCAAACAATGTAAGACGCCCGGGAGCGAATCTCACAAAACACATGCCAGGCCTCCTTGCCAATAACCATCACGGCTTGTTAAGAGAAAATACAAGGGAGCCAGTGACAAGGAGGGACAGTGAAGTGAGCACTCTCTCTGTCCCCAGAGCTCAGGCCAGCCCGTGCCCCTGGTGGTGGAGAGCTGTGTCCGCTTCATTAACCTGAATGGTAAGCAAGACCTGGGCCCTCCTGCCGCCCACCCGGCGCCCGATCCTCGAGGGGGTGGAGAGGGGACTTGGACCCATAGGCTCTCATCCTCCCCCAGGCCTGCAGCACGAGGGCATCTTCCGGGTGTCAGGCGCCCAGCCCCGAGTCTCAGAGATCCGTGACGCTTTTGAGAGAGGTAGGGACAGGCAGGAGGGGGTAGGGGTGGGGGGAGAGCCGGAGCTGGTGTGATCAGCCTCCTGCGCCCTGTGTCACCTGCAGGGGAGGACCCACTGGTGGAGGGCTGTACAGCTCACGACCTGGACTCAGTGGCAGGGGTGCTGAAGCTCTACTTCCGGAGCCTGGATCCCCCGCTCTTCCCACTGGACCTGCTCCGAGAGCTGCTGGCCTCTGCAGGTGAGGCCGGGGCTGGAGGCCGGCCGGGCGGGAGGGGCCGCTTCCCTGTCGCTGCGGCCTCACTCCTGCTTCTCTCCCCGGGGTGGCGGGGTGGGGGCTGGCCTGCGCCGCAGAGCTGGAGGCTGTGGCCGAGCGGGTGGAGCACGTTAGCCGTCTCCTGGCCCAGCTGCCCGCACCGGTGCTGGTCGTCCTGCGTTACCTCTTCACCTTCCTCAACCAGTGAGTGCTTTCTGGGGGACGGGGAGGGCTGGCGGTGGGGCATGTGCGGGTCACCAGGCGGGGCATTCCCTGCCCATGACCCGCGTGTGCCCCCAGCCTGGCTCAGTACAGTGACGAGAACATGATGGACCCCTACAACCTGGCGGTGTGCTTCGGGCCGACACTGCTGCCCGTTCCTGCCGGGCAGGACCCAGTGGCCTTGCAGGGCCGGGTGAACCAGCTGGTGCAGACTCTCATCGTGCAGCCCTCCCGGGTTTTCCCACCCCTGACCCTGCTGCCCGGCCCCATCTACGAGAAGTGCATGGCACCACCCTCCTCCAGCTGCCTGGGGTATGCTCTTTGTGTGCGGGGGAGGGGGGGGTCCAGCAGAGGGGGGAGCCCCCTCATCTACTCAGGTGCCTCGCTCTGACCCCAGGGATGGCCAGCTGGAGGGCCTGGTCGGGGAGAACGAGCCGGAGCTGGAAGCTGGGACCCTGGCCCAGGAGGATGGTGAGGGCGGAAGAGGAGGGGCCCGATCCTGTCTCCGCCCTGGGTGCCCCCTCCGCCTCCCAACTTGGACCCCCTTTTCTCCCCAGACCTGGAGGGGGTCGTGGAGGCCGTGGCCTGCTTTGCCTACACGGGCCGCACAGCCCAGGAGCTGAGCTTTCAGCGCGGGGACGTGCTGCGGCTGCACGAACGGGCCTCGGGCGACTGGTGGCGGGGCGAGTGCTCAGGCGCCCGGGGACTCATCCCGCACAAGTACATCATGCTGCCTGGGGGGTGAGTGAGCAGCTTCTCCATCCCCCGGGTGTCTCGCCCGCTCCCCTGCCCCGAGTCCTAGCTTTCCCTAGGCCTGGGGCGGCCCAGACCACTTCTGGCCAGCACTGAGCCCGCCGGCCCCCCAGAGCCTGGGCCAGGAATGAGTGCTTTCAACGAGCTGTCTCTCCCACCCTAGTGCAGAGAAGGTGGGCCAGGGGCCGCAGGCGAACAGTCCCGAGGTCCTCCTGGCCATGGAATTCGTCCATCGGTGAGCGAGGGAAGGATGGTTCTTCGGGAAGACTCATTTTGGTGGCCCTCCTTGCCCACCTCGGCCTGAGCACTGCTGTTGGGGAGCCAAGGCTGTCCCGGGCAGCAGGTGCTGGGCCAGGTCAGAAGGGGCTGGGGTCTGGCTTTGGCCATGTCGAGAGGGGCCCAGCTGGGGGAGAGTTATCCGGGGGAGGGACACCAAAGGAGGACAGAATGGACCCGCTGGGCCAGCCCCGCTCTTCCCCCCCTCCCTTGGCCATGCCCTGTCTGTACCCTGCAGGCCAGAGCCATGCACCCCACCTGAGGCCCCTCTGGGCACACCCGGGGGCCCCTCTGGGCACAGACGGCACTGCTTGGTCCCCACCTCCCCGGAGCGGTATGTGGAGGTAGACAAGGTGAGAGCCAGGACTGGCTGTGTGGCAGAGAGCGGGGCACGGGGCGGGGGGGCACCTCTCCTGGGGGGGGGTCTCTGCCTCCCCTTAGGAACCAAACTCTTTTGTCCCAAGGTTCAAATCTGCCCTTCCTGGCCTCAGACCAGAGGGCAAGGACGAGCCCAGAAGCAGGGTGGAGGGGGACACAGGGGCTCATGCAATTGGGCCCCACGTTTGGTTCTTGAGCAGGAAGTGGCAAGTGGGAGTCCCAGGCAGGCATGGCATCTAGAGCCAGGACACGTGACAGGAAGTGACGTAGCAGGCACTTGGTAGCCAAGGAGGATGAAGGGGACAGATGGAGGGGAGAGTGGGTGCTGGGCGGGGCCTGGGGAGACCCGGCTCCCTGCTCTCCTGGGCCTAACACACCCACCGCCGGGCTCAGACAGAAGCCCTGGGGACAGTGTGAGCTGGACGACAGAGCCCAAGAGCACGTAGCATGCCAGCTGTGACCACACAGACGCTCATATGCCAGGGAAGCAGGAGTCAAGCGGTGTAGGGGTGGGGGGGGGGTGGGCTGCAGGGGGACACTGACCTGAGAGGCCCCAGCACACTGGTGGCTCCGGGCGCCAAGGGGTGGCTGTGATCCCAGCCAGGGAGAGCGTAGGTATGACAAAAGGGGGGATCTGTTGGTGTCCCCAGAGGAGTCTGTGACAGCCACACCAAGAGTGGCAGGAGGGAAACCAGGCAGGGGAGGAGGAGCAGCAGCTCCGGGGCCAGTGGAGAGGAGGGGCATGGTGACAGGAAGGTGGCCGAGGGCTTTGGTTTTGGAATGAGAAGGAGTTCAAGTGGACGCTCGGGCAGCAGAGGGAGGAAGGCCCCCCTCTTGCTCAGGTGGTGACCCCCTGACCTGGGCATGGGAGAAAGGGCTGGCCAGCTTGGGGGAGGCTCTCACCAGACGCCCTCCCTCTCTCTTCTCCCCTCTAGGCCGTGGCACAGACCATGGACTCCGTGTTTAAGGAGCTCTTGGGAAAGACCTCCGCCCGCCAAGGCCTTGGGCCAGCGTCCACCAGCTCCTCCAGCCCCGGGCCCTGCAGCCTGAAGTCTCCAGCCTGTGGCCGCCTCGGCAAGACCAGAGGCTTCTCCCGGGGCTCCGGGGCCCCGGCGTCCCCCTCGGCGTCCCCCTCGGCGTCCCATCCCCAGAGCCTGGACTCGCCCCTTAAGCACTGAGGCTCTGCGGCTGCCCTGCAGGCCCCGCCTCGCCCCGGGTGGCTCCCCTCGGCTTCTCCCTAGCCCCGTGCAGCCAGCGCTGGGCTCCTGCCCTCGCCCCCTTCGCAGAGGACACGGCTGCCTGCCCCAGCCCTGGCTTAGGCCCCCTTGGGAGGCAGCTGCAGAAGGAGGCTGGGGGCAGGCCCCTCCCTGGCTTTGCTGTGACGGCCTGTCAGGGGCTGTTGGGTGGTGGGTGCCCGGGGCCTGTCTCTGCCTCAGCTGAGGGTGCGAACCTGGTGGAGGCTGGCAGGTGTGGGCTGCCATTTATAAAGGCCTGTGCGTTCACTCCCCCATGCAAGCCACTTGTCTGTCTTGGGGGGCTGGGCAGGCAGAGGCCCCGTCCGATGCCGGGGTGCTCAGCAAACGTGGCAGCTTAGGCAGCCAGGACAGCTTCCACGAGGGGTCTCGGCACAGAGTTGTCCGTGCCAGGGCCGTGTGGCGTGGTGACCTGTGCACCGGGTCTGGTGGCCAGTTGGGGGGAATCTGAGAATGACTTTCCACGCTGCCTACAACCGCTGTTACCCTGATCCAAGGAGACTCACCGGGTGGGAAATGAGCTGGAACCTTTATTAGGGAGAGAGTGAGAGGGGACTAGAGAGGCGGGGGGGGGGGGGGGGGGGGGGGGAGGTCCTCTGGCTCCACCCCCTTTCCTTCCTGCCGGGCTCCCTGGGACCTCCATCTCAGGGGCAGGCACCGGCTGGGGTGGAAGCCCAATGCCACGGCCCAAGCCCCTCCCCACGCCCCGGAGCCAGTTCCCGGAGAGCCCCCCTCCTCCCCAGAGCTCCCGGGGCCAGCCCCAGGCAGGCAGCGGGCTTTCACAGAGCCTCTAAAAGCCTCTCAGGAGGAAGTGTCCTTGGCCAGGAAGGAGCTGGCAGTGGCGCAGGACTCCTCCTGGGGCCCCGGGCTGGGTGGGACCCGACTCTGGGCGCAGCAGAGCAGGCTGCGCAGCTCGGAGGACACACTGCTGCTGAAGAAGGCGTAGATCCAGGGGTTGGTACAGCTGTTGAGGCTGGCCAGCAACATAAGCAGCACGAAGGGGGCCTCTGTGGGGGTGGAAGAGTCCGGGCTGGGACTGAGGTTGCCCGTGCAGAGGTGCAGTGACCCCATCTGCTCACTAGGGAAGAGCAATCCACGTGAGCCCATGCGTGCTCCCGAGCCCGCGGCTGGAGGTGTCTGTGGGGGTGAAGGTGCCTATGCGGCCGAGCCTGGCCGGTCCCCCGCAGTCCTAGCCACGGCCACACGCACCTTCCAGGGGTGCCTTCGGGTCCCACGCTGCCCACAGCTGCACGAGGAAGAAAGGCGCCCAGCACAACACGTAGACAATCACAATCACCAGCGTCATCCTCACGGTCTTGGCCACGGCTGCTGACACCCGGGCCCCCTCACTGGGGCTGCCGGTCCGGTGCCCTCCACGGCCACCCCCAGCCCTCTCTGCCGGCCCCAGCACCAGGCTGGCATGAATCTCCCGGAAGATGAGCACCTGGCAGGCAGCGATGCCCAGGGCAGGTGCCACAAACACCATTAGGGCGATCCAGGTGACATAGGCTCGGAGGCCCCAGGGCTCAGCAAAGTGGGCCCAGCAGTCAAGGACCCCACTGCCATTTCCCACGTCACGCTGGGCAAAGATGAAAAGCTGGGGCAGGCTGAAAATGAGCGAGAAGGCCCAGGCCACCAGCACTGGCCGGTTCCAGTGAGCTCCACCTCCGTGGCGGTATGCCAGCATGGGGCGGCAGATGGCGCGGTGGCGGTCCAGCGTCATGGCCAGGATCATGTAGGAGGAGGCGTACATGCCCACCATCTGCAGGTACTTGACTGCCCGGCACAGGGCATCAGGCCCACGGAAGCGGTCCGTGGCATCCCACGCCAGCTGGGGCAGTACTTGGAACAGAGCCACGGCCAGGTCGGCCAGGCACAAGTGACCAATGAAGACGTGCATGGGTGCCCAGCGACCCCGCCGGCCCCGGCGTGCTAGGACCCCCAGCACCAAGCCGTTGCTCAGGGCCACGGCCACAAAGACCGTGGAGAGCAGGGCTAGCTCTGCCTGGACGAGCAGCGGGTTCCGGGTGTCCGGCGGCTCCTCGCTGCTGTTGCCGGGCAGAAGAGGCGGGGAGAGGGTCCGGGGCACAGCTGGGCAGGGGCGGGGGAAGAGGGCCAAGTTAGGGGGTGTGCTGGGCACGGGGCCCCGGGCCCAAGGAGGTTCCAGCTGGACGGGCGGAGCCAGTGGTCCGAGCAGCCATCAACCTGGGCCTCCTGCTTCCCTCCAGCCTCCCATGTCCCGGCTCCCAGCAAAACAGATGCCATTCCCGCCTCACGTGCTGGGGAGGGAAGGGCAGCCCCAGCCCCCAGTGAGCACGCAGGGCCATGCCATGCCCTCCCCTCCCCGCACGGGCAGCCTGGAGAGCAGGGTGAGGGAGGTCTCAGAAAGAGGGGCTTCTTTGCTTCTTCCAACCCCACTCAGCCTACCTGGCTCATCCCAGTGGAGGGACTGGTGGGGGGATGGGTCAGGGCCCCGGGGCTGGAACCTTACCAGAAGTGGTGGATGCCACGAGCATGGTGGGGCTGGGGCAGGTGTCTCGAGCGCCTGGAGGAGACACGGTGTCGAGCTCAGCCTCCCATTCGAGGGGTCAGCCACGTTGTCTTATCTCTAGACAGGGGCCCCTAGAGAGGTGCCAGGGTGGTGAGGTGCCCGTGTGTGTGTGTGTGTGTGTGTGTGTGTGTGTGTGTTCCCGCAATGGGGAGGTGGGGCTACACCCTTAGTCGGATCAAGGTTGGTGAGGTCTGGCCCCACTGCGCCAGTCAAGGACCTCAGGGCCCCCTGTGCTCCTCCCAATCCTGGGCAGGTTAAGATAGAAAGGAGCAGTCATGCAGATGAATGAACATGTCCTAGGACCCACCTCGGCAGCCCGCAAGATCTGAGGCAGACATACAGACCCGCTTCCCCCACACACCCAGATGGAGTCCGGGAGAGGTGGCCGTGGGAGGGCGGGGGTTGGGCAGGAGAGGCCAGCATGTCCCTGGGGCCCCTCGAAGCCCCTTACCTGGCTGGGCTCTCTGGGCTCCGGGCAGCTGGACAGTGGCGGGTGCGAAGGTGGCCCAGGAGCTCAGATCTGCTCTCCATCCCCTGCCCCGCCCCAGCCCGGCCTCTGGGAGTGACCTGCCCAGGAGGGGACTTCCTCTCCCTCCCCTCCCCCACGTGCCTCTCCTGGCCTCCTGCCTGTGGCACCGGGAAGTAAGCTCCTGGCCTCCTGTGCTGCCCTTCCTGTCTAGTCCCCAGGAGTCCTCCCCACCCCACCCCCCCGACTCGTGAGGGCCTGAGCCCTCCTACGCTGGTCCCCAGCTTGGTCTGGCTGTGACCATCAGGCAGGCTTTTCCCCCAACCCCTGCCTGCGCCTGCCCCCCCGCAGGGCCCACCTGACCAGAAGATCAGGTCCAGCAGGGCTCTGGGAGTTCAGGTAGCTCAGCAGCTCCATTTTGTAAGTGGGGAAACTGAGGCCAGAGATGGGTGGGGCCTACTGAAGGGCACCCAGCTTTCTCGTGGCACAGCTTGACTCCTTTCTCATGCCAGGTTCCTTCTGTCCCTCTTGGGCCCTGGCGAGGAAGGGGTGAGAGCTCATGGAATCCCCAGTACATGAGTGTTGGCTCCTCCTGGGCCTATGAGGGCCTCCTCCGGAGATGAGGGGGGGCGGGCAGGGAGGGGGCGGGGCGGGGTCGAGCCAGGGCTTAATGCACCCCTGTGAGAGCCAGCTTCCTCCCCAGGGTCCTGTGGGAGCCAGGGACGCCCCCCCCCGCCCCACCTGCACCTACCTGTCCTAGGAGGAGGGGGCGGCTTCAGATCTCTGTCTCTCTGTCTCTGTCTGTGTCTCTGTCTCTCTCACACACACCCAGACGCACATAAAGAGCCAAATGCCCATAAAGGCACACTCGACCCGCTTATGCCCCCGCACACCGTGTGGAGGGTCTGAGAGCGGCTTCCCCTCCCGGGGCCTCAGGGCTGGGCTCTCCGTCCTTGCGTCCTCGGCGTCCAGGACCCCGGCCCCCTCCAGGAGCCCTCTTTCCAGTCCCCTCCTGCTCTTGCCACAGATCCTGGCCTTGCTCAGCCAAGGCCTGCGCGGCCCAGCCCAAGGCAGTGGCCTGCATGCCTCTCGGCCAGGCTCTGAGCCCAGTTGGCCCTGTTTTCCTGTTTGTCCGTCTTCCCTGATGACCTGCAAGGCTAAAGGCCAAAACGGCTTCCCACGGACCAGGCACAAGTGTAGCCCAGACTAAGGCCTCCTCTTCCTGGCCAGAGAGCAGGGCGGGGGCGGGGCGGAGGCAGCGGGGGGCGGGGTCTCCCACACCCATCACACACCCACCCCTGCACGCCTACTACGTGCACACGTACCATACATTCACACACACACGTATTTATAATGTGTTTTGCTGGACAATTTGGGCACAGGTTGCAGAATGCTGACACCCCATGTCAGAACCCTTCAGCCACACCTCCTAAGAACAAGAACATTCTCGCTTTCCTCCCTGTAACCACAGTGCCATTATTTTTTTTTAACTTTTTTTTAAAGATTTTATTTATTTATTTGAGAGAGAGAGAGAGAATGAGAGACAGAGAGCACGAGAGGGAAGAGGGTCAGAGGGAGAAGCAGACTCCCTGCTGAGCAGGGAGCCCGATGTGGGACTCGATCCCGGGACTCCAGGATCATGGCCTGAGCCGAAGGCAGTCGCTTAACCAACTGAGCCACCCAGGCGCCCACCACAGTGCCATTATTAACCTAGAAGCACAGAAACAACTTTTCTACTACTGTCCAGATCAACACAAATGGTAGAAAGTAGGAGTTCCTGGGCAGGATTCTAGAACAGATTTTTCAAGGGAAAGCCATGAGCCACTGGTAAAAAGTCACACCACACCCAGCATCCTTTCTCATACCGCCCCCCCATGCCAGGGGCCTAGCCTCGCAGGTGGGATGGAACCTCCCCCATCTGCCCAGGAAACTCAGGCGCCTGCGGAGGACACATGTCCTCGCCTGGCCCCTCGACCGCTGTGTGACCTTGCAATTCGGGCTTCAACTTCTGTCTCTGTAAAATGGGAAGCCAACCCCCAAAGGCTGACGATGGTGACAGGATGGGCAAAGACCTGAAGCTGGCCGGCGATAAGCCCCTGGAAGAGCCTACTTTTGCTGCGCAGGGGGCCGCATGGCGAGCTCGAGAGGGAAGCTGAAAGGTCTCTCTGCCCAGATCCCAGCAGAGAGCCGACGTGCGGGGCGGGGCCCCTGAGCCGGGAGGCCATTTCCTTGGCCATCGCTACTCCCTGCACTCCTTGTTTCCTGTTGTTGAGCCTGGGGCAAAGATCTTGGGGAAGGCCTCTCCCTCCTCGGTGGTTCTCTCCCGGCTCTAAGAGGCAAGGGGTGTGTGGCCACATCCAGACCAGACATTAAAGCGAGACTGGGCCCACAGCTTGCCCCTGCTAACCTAAATAGGTGCTGGGGAACTTCAGGAGGAACTGAGAAGCCACCAAGACCAGAGGGCATGCCAGAGATAGAGGGCTTGCCAGAGAGGGTCTGGATCCCTCGCTGAGAGCCCCCAGGGCTGGGAGGCCATAGCTCAGGCACAGGTGCTAAGTCCCACCTCCTGCAGCGAGGAGCTGATCAGAGGTGACAGGCCTCAAGCAGGCCCCTGCCCCAGGCCCCCCCCACCCCCGCCCCGGGGCACTAAAGATGGGGCTCAGCAGCAGTTCACGGGAAGAAAGGCTGACTAGCTTATTCACCGTCAAGGCCACGTGAATCGGCAGAGATGGTACTGGGTGGCCCAGGGCCTCTGTCCTCTCATGAACCGAGAGCAGGGCACTGACCTGGAGGCCACTACTCCCTGAGACAAGCAGATGGGTAGGGGCCGTGGAGAGGAGAGAGGAGGGATCCCGGAGAGGTGCTTGGGGCATGGCCAAATGCGCCCACACTCACCCTGGGGAGCACTGAGAAGCTGGTTCTGAAAGACCAAAGAAGGGCTTGGCCACAGGGCGGGCCACTTAGCCTCAGTGGGCCTCAGGCCAGGGGGCAGGACCGAGCAGACATCCCCCCCCTCCACCCCATGCCTCCAGGATTACATTTGCAGGAAGGATTCTGTGGGTAGCCAAGGTGTGGGCTTGTGTCTCCCCCAGCCCCGTGTCCAAGTAGAAGAAGACAGGAGGCCTCAAGCCGGGGCACTGAGCCTCCCAGGTGCCAGCCACCAGGGCGGGGGAGCAGAGCTGGCAGGACCCGGATCTGCCTGTCTTGCTCTGTCACTGGCTCTCTGTAATCAGAACGCTTTGCTCCACAAGTGGCAAGTGCTGAGGGCCCTGTGCCCTGCATGCAGAGGTGGGAGGACCCGGGCCCTGCCCCAAGGAGTGCAGGGTCCTGTGCCAGTCCAGCTGAGAGGGCTGGGCGTGGGGAGGCCACCGCCCAGGGGAGAAATGGTGGGACCCCGTTAGTGGGTTAATGGAACGGAGGGGAAAGACATTTCTCGGGCCCTGAATAAAACCCTGAAGGACATTTCGGGTATGAGAGAGGAAGAGGAGGCCGCCAGACCCACGGAGAAGGAGTGATGGAGCCAGGAGAGCATCTGGCCAGGAGGCCGGCAGGAGAGATGGGCATGTCCTCATTGCAGATGGCCAACCCCGCGCAGCAGCCGGACTGACAAGCGAGGAGCGGATGCAGGGGAGACTGACGGCAACCGAACACCTAGGAGAGGCTCCGATGGTCTGCAAGAGCACTGGGGAGGAGGGTAGGGTCCACTGGAGCAAAAACACATTTAATAAAAACACATGGGACATGCATGGGTCCATGGTGCTAGCAAGACAGGGTGTCCACTCACCTGAGGTCCAAATTCAAGTGAATGGTAATTTTGAAAGTTAGACAATGCCTGCTTGCCGGTTTCAGGAGGAAGGAGAGTGGTGCTTGGGTTAGGAGCCCCGAAGGCTGGGAGGGGCAGGGTTCCCAGCAGGCACTGGGAGCACCCCTCTTCTGGGCTGAGAACCTGGGGGCGTAGAGGGCAAGTGAGCGGTGAGGGCTGTGCCCCCAGATGACCACGAGGTCCTCATCTGACGGGAAGGCAGCCTGGCCGAGGGCATCTCCTTTCTGGTCAGAGGTCGCCAGGCATGTGGTTGCAAGTGCCCCTGCCACGCAGCCCCCCTTCCTCCTGCCAGCCTTCCACTGATGGTGGCGGCTAGGGCCACTTCATCATCGTTCAATGTTTCCAGTATTCTGACTGCCATGACCTAGGCAATGATTTCTCTCCTTGGCTTGGCAGACTTTTCAAAATCAGACTTTTTGAGGTATGATTCATATCCAGTAAAATTCACAAATTTTTCGGGCGCCTGGGTGGCTCAGTTGGTTGAGCGACTGCCTTCGGCTCAGGTCATGATCCTGGAGTCCCGGGATCGAGTCCCGCATCGGGCTCCCTGCTCAGCGGGGAGTCTGCTTCTCTCTCTGACCCTCTTCCCTCTCGTGCTCTCTCTCTCTCTCTCTCATTCTCGCTCTCTCAAAATAAATAAATAAATCTTTAAAAATATATATATATAGATTTGTCTTTTTTAGAATTTTATAAAAATAGAATC